CTCAGTGTGTCATGCCACTCATGGGGCGCCTGGCGGAGACCGTAGACTGGCCGCCGGAGGCTCCACTGGGTACCAGGGGGAAACGACCCAGTGAAGCCAGGTGGGCGGCGCAGCCAGATCTCCTCGTGCAGGCTGCCGTGCAGGAAAGCTGTGCTGAAGTGAAGAGAGTGAAGCTCGTAGTCGCGCTGAGCGGCTATGTGTAGCAGCACCCGAAGAGTGGTCATCTTCGAGGTGGGAGAGAAGGTATGAAAATAGTCAACTCCCTGCCGCTGACTGAAGCCTCGAGCCACGTAGTGCGCCTTGAAGACAGGCTGAGAACCCGGCGGCCGCTTCACCCTGAAAATCCACATGCCACTGATAATGATCGCCTCAGGTGGGGGATCCTCGTTGACGTACGTTCCTGTGGACTTCCAGGAAGCCATCTCTGCGTCCATGGCTGACTGCCAGTGAGAGGAGTATGGACCCTCAATCGCCTTAGCGTACGATCGAGGAGTCGGGATGTGTGGTGCATCCGGGTCTCCCTCAAGGGCAATCAGCGTGGACACGAGATGAGTTAAAGCAGCAGCAAAACACTAGAAATCCTCCTGCCTGTCCTCAAGGACGTCCGTACCAAGAGCACACTCACCCCCGACGGACGGAGGACAGACTTACTCAGACTCAGCAACAAGACTAGCAGCGTAGTCTAGACGACAACGAGAAGCAAAGTCGACAAGCTCAGCAACTAAGGCAGACGCAGCAGTGGACTTAAAAGAAGGGTCAGTGACAACAGTGGCCAGGACTCGCGTGACACTAGGACTGGCAGCACGAAGAGAGTCAGACTCAGGGTCAGCAAGAACAAGAAGAGAGGACTCTAGAGGAGACGGCAACAGGACACGAAGAGGAGCTGTGGAAGGACATAATGCCATTTTGGTGTGTGCCTGGGACCGTAGGAGGACGTGGACGCGGAGCACGACTACTAGTGCGAGCAGCATGAACAGGCGATGCAGGACGAGACGCAGGCTCACGACGCTTAGCAAGACCTCCAGTAGGACCAGTGTAGGGAGGAGCAGGTAGGGGGGAGGCGGGCTGTAACCGTGATTTCGACTGGACAAGCTCTGGACACTCTAAGGGAGGAGCAGGACCTGTAGAAGGCGGGAGACCAGGAACCTGCTCAAGGAGCGGAACGAAGTACGGCCGCGGCTGCGCAGTGCCTCCAGAATTGGCAGGGACAGCACCAGTACCCCCAGCGGCAGCACCAGCGCCAGCAGTACGTCCAGCTCCAACAGCACCAACTCCAGCACCCTCAAACGCACCAGCGCCAGTAGAACCACCAGCGCCAACACCCCCAGCAGCTCCAGCTCCAGCAGCACGAACTCCAGCAGGACCAGCAGCTCTAGTACCGCAAGCAGCTCTAGCAGTTTCTGCAACACGACAAACTCCAGCAGCCTCAGCAGCACCCCTAGCCCTTGCAGCTCTAGTACCGCCAGTACATGCACCTCCGGGACCAGCAGCAACAGTAGCACCTCCAGCTCTAGCAGCATGGCCCCAGCGCTGGGCAAACCACTCATGCAGCTCCTGCGGAGAGAGTAGCTCTCGTCTCGACGAAGCACCGCGAGAGACCACACGAGCACCCTCAACACCCCTAGGCTCCGCACCCCCAGGCTCAGCACCCCAAGGCTCAGCACCCCCACACTCAGCACCCCTAGGCTCAGCACCCCTAGACTTAGCACCCCTTGGCGCAGCACCCCCAGGCTCAGCACCTCCAGACCCGGCACCTGCAGGCTCAGCACCTCTAGTAGCATCAGAGTCAACAGCTACCTCGACACGCTCGACTACGTCTACCTAGGACACACCTGACGAGGCAGGACCCTGAGGGGGAAGGGGGTCTACCGGGGGAGGACCTGGCGCAAGGAAGAGCGGCGGTGGGGGGAGGGGCGCAGTGCGGTAAGTAAAAAGATGATAGTAAGGCACCGACTCATCAATGGTGACGTCCTAGGAGGACAGAACACGGCGCGAGGTGGGGTGGTAAAGCTGCCATCCAGGCGTGTCAGGGGGGAAGCCAAGGAAAACGCAGGGAAGAGCACGGGGGGACAGCTTGTACGCAAACAAGGCGCGGACAAACGCCCGAGATCCCCAAACCCGAAACGAAGACGCATCGCCAACCTTCCCCGTCCACCGCAAGTTGGGGGAGGTCCCTGGCAAGGAGACCCCGTGCTGAAGGTTGAGCTGATGCGCTGCGTACTGAACTGCAAACGGCCACGGAATATGGGGGGCAGCCACATGGATCATGGACGTACGAGCGACGTCCATGACCATACCAATGCGGCGCTCAGCAATCTCATATTTCTATGGAGAGGCCGGAAGCGTGAAGGTCTTGCGGATGCCTTCTGCACGTGAGAAGGCTCCTAGACGGTCACACGAAATCTCCCCACCTCTGTCAGAGTCCAGACGCAGAACAGGAAAGTCCAAGCCAAAACTCTCTCTGAGCTGGAGACGAGCTGCGCGGATCCAATCGATCAACACCTCAGTGACATCACACTTGCTGTGTACGGGGAACACCGTGGTGTAGCGCAAGTAGTTGTTAACCACCAACAGGAAGTAACGCTCGTGACCTTGGCCACGGACGTGGGCGGGGCCCCACACGTCCATCTGAAGAGTCTGCAACGGAGATTCTGTCGGAGGAAACTCGGAGGAGTGAGGGGCGGCGCGCTGGCGCCCCTCGACGTAGGGGACGCAGATAGGGGCAGGCCCCGGAGGTAGTGTAGGGAGGGACCGGGGATGACCAGAGACAAGGACACGTGAGGCCATGCCTCCGAGACGAGGTAGGGAGGGGTGACCAAGGCGGTGGTGCCAAAGGAGAGTCTGGTGGGACAGCACACGACATGAGCAGGGCGCAGACTCAGGACCAGACCTGGAGGCTACAGCAAACACCTGACTCTACGCAGCTACCTGACCAGACTCAGCAACCGGAGGAGAATCAGTAGTCAGTGTGTACAGGCTCGACCCCAGCAGACGGGTAAACGTGGCCAAGTGTCGGCCCGCCTGAGCACACGGACAGTGGTTCACCCGCTGACTCGTAGGAGTGAACTGGTCAACCCCCCAATCCTGTAGATCAGCACCACTCACCAAGTTCGTAGAGAACGAGGGGAGGTAGAGACCCGACAGGGTGCCAGAGTGGGCTGCCGGACACGGTAAGACAATGGAGAAGCGAGCAAGGACAGGACCCCCAGAGGGGTCCGCCAGGGAGACCACAACCGGCCGACTAAGCGGCATAAGCGTGGTGCGGTCTCGAAAGAAGGAGCGGGAAGCACCCGAGTCAAGGGTGAAGGTGTGTAAGGCTTGAGCCGGCGTAGTACCTGAGAGAGCAGACTCACCAGCACCTGGGGCAGTAGACGCATCAGCACCTAGAGCAGCAGCCTCACCAGCACCTAGAGCAGCAGCCTCAATGCCTTGGTCAGGCGGAACACACAGGTAACAGTCACCCTCAACACTATTAGACATAGCATACATGGCAGCAAGAATAGCATTATAATCAAGATCAAAACCCCCGCCCTAGACAGATCTCCCCAGCGAGGGATCTCAGTGGCGTCAAGGAACTGGTGACGCCACGCGTCCGTCAGGTGGCCGAAGCAGCGCTAGGTGGAGTGTGGGCCCCCACACTGCTCACTAGCGCGGTCGCCAGTACGGAGGACGTAGGTGCACGGACCAGTACCCCCACCTCGCAGAAGCCCAGCGTACCACTCACGAAGCTGATGAGGGGAGAGGGTCTCACGACTGCGCTGCTGCTGCTGGCGCGGACCACCACCGGACCCACTCCTCTGCGCAGAGCCGCGACCAGCTCCACTGCTGCCGCCGCTGCCTCCGCCAGCTCCGCCGCCTCCACCACCTCCTCCGCCTCCGCCACCTTCGCTCCCTCCGCCACCGCCGCCGCCTCCTCCGCCTCCACAGCTGCTGCCGACACCTCCACCCCCGCCACCACTCCCACCACCACCCCCACCCCCTCCACCGCCTCCACCACCACCTCCACCACCCCCGCCAGCCCCTCTAGCGCCCTTGGCCCCCTTGCCCTTGCCGGTGCGGCGTCTCCCGCTAGAGGTAGACGCCGCACCGACCGACTCGAAACCAACGAGGTCGGCCGCAGTAGCAGAAGCAACAGAGGGCAAGAGGGGGGAAGGGGAACACCCCTCAAAGACGGGGGTGCGAGGGTCAACGGTGAGTGTGGTGGGGCAAACTGAGAGGAATTGGTCCTTGACTAAGCGAAGGGAGTTAGGGAGCCGGGTGACTATGTAGTAGAGGGTGATGTACATGGTCGGGGGGGGGGGTCTTGGCACAGAACTCAGCACGAAGCGCAGCGCGGTAGTGAGTGTCACTAGTGCGAAGGTGCGTAATGAGGTCAGCAACTGTCGGAAAGGTAGCAAGGTGAGGGAACAGGTACGGCAACATGAGGTGGCTAAGAGCTGCAGTGGCAGTGGAAGAGTGGCGTGCAACTACAGCGTCGTACAAGGTCTTAGCACTCTTGTACTGACTAAAGTGGGCACGCTTAGTGGTCGGTAAGTGGCGACGCACAGCAAGACGGGCAGCAGCATCGCGTGTGGCCCACTGTGAGCGAACAGTGCTGTCAGCAGTAGCAGGCGGGGCAGGAGAGGCACCAGAGGTGAGATCGAACAGGGAGAGGCCGTCTGCCCTATCGCACTCTAGGAACAGCAGGAGGTCATCGACCTAGACCTCGAAGTCAATTGCACGACCATCAGTATCAAAGGTAAGGACACTGGGGTAGCCATGACTGCAGTGGCCTAGCAGGGAGTGATCTCACTCGACCGAGTAAGTAGGGCCGGGGCGCGCCGGTAGGGCGGCTCGGCGGCTCTGCTGCTCGGCTGCTGGGCGGCACGGCGGCTCGGCGGCTCGACTGCTGGGCGGCTCGGCGGCTTGGCTGTTGGGCGGCTCGGCTGCTGGGCGGCTTGGCGGCTCGGTTGCTGGGCGGCTCGGCTGCTGGGCGGCTGGCGGCGTGGTGGCTTGGCTACTCAGTTGCTGGGCGGCTCAGCAGTGAAGGGGCCGGTAGAGGCGGCGACGAGGCCGGTAGGGGCGGCGATGGGGCCGCTAGTGGCGGCGACGGGGCCGCTAAGGGCGGCGAGGTGGCCGCGAAGGGTGGCGACGGGGCCTCCAGGGGCGGCGACGGGGCCGCTAGGGGCGGCGATGGGACCGCAGAGGGGCTGCAAGGGGCCTAGAGGGGTGGCGATGACGCCGTGAAGGGGCCTAGAGGGGGCGGCGACGAGGTCGCAAGGGGCGGCGATGGGGCCGCGAAGGGGCCGCGAGGGGCCAAGAGGGGCGGCGACGGGGCCTAGAGCAGCGACGACGGGGCCGCGAGGGCCCTAGAGGGGCAGCAACAAGGCCGCGAAGGGGCTGAAAGGGGCATAGAGGGGGCGGCGACGGGGCTGCAAGGGGCGGCGACGGGGCTGCGAAGGGGCCGCGAGGGGCCTAGAGGGGCGGCGACGGGGCCTAGAGCGGCGGCGACGGGGCCACGAAGGGGCCGCGAAGGGCCTAGAGGGGCGGCGATGGGGCTGCTAGGGGCGGCGACGGGGCCGCGAAGGGGCCGCGAGGGGCCTAGAGGGGCGTCGACGGGGCCGGAAAGGACGGCGACGGGACCGCTAGGGGTGGCGCGAGGGGCCTCTAGGAGGGCGCGACGTGAGGGCGGCCTACGGGGTGCTCCTCAGGCAGGAAAGAAAGATCGAGTCAGGTGGTGGGCCCTGAGAAGCGTTCCCACGAGGGAACCTGCTCTATACTATGTGAAGAATGAAGAATGAATGAACTAGCAAGCAGGTGGGTACAAGTAGGAAAACCTAGAAATGTTGTACCCCATATAGTCTACCCTACTACAGCCTACACTGAATATAGCATATAAGTTTGACAAATCTCATACATTTAAAAAAATGCTTGGGTTATCTTGTATTTGGGGAAGTTTTGGGTGTCTTATAAGTCTTATAAATAGAAACTTATTTTAACTACTTAGAAATCTTTTCACGCACATTGAAAAGAGTTTCTCGTTAAGTGTGTGGATGTTGCCAATGTGCCACGCAACCATTGTTCAGGACGCCACGTCATCCCGAATACTTGCAACATCAAATTTAGTAGTATGTGTCAAAATATAATATTGTGTAGGCTGTAGTGGGGTAGCCTATATGGGGTACACATTTCAAGGGTTGCATATTTGTACCACTTTCATTCCTTGATGCAGTCATTCTCGTTTCAACTTTCTCATGGTATCAGAGCAGGTTCTCTCGTGGGAACTGTGCCTAGGGCCCACCACATCGAATTTTTTTTCCTGCCCGGAGCGCGCTCCCTAAGTCACGCTCCCCTCTCTGCCTTCGTCGAGCCGCCCTAGCGGCCACGTTGCGCCACCTTAGCGGCCCCTGCTTCCTAGCCCTTGCGACCCCGTAGCCTTACCTACGGCCCCGGCCCCGTCGCCTTACCTGCGCCTCAGCCCCGTCGCCCCACCTGCGCCCTGGCCCCGTCACCCTACCTGCGCCCCGGCCCCGTCGCCCTACCTTTGATCCCGACTTCGTCGCCCTACCTGCGACCTCGGCCCCGTCGCCCCACTACGACCCTGGCCCCGCCACCATCCCTTCGGCCCCAGCCCTAGCCCCGTCGCCCTACCTGCGCCCCGGCCCCGGCCCCGTCGCCCTACTTGCGATCGCGGCCCCGTCACCCCACCTCCGACCCAGGCCCCGTCGCCCTACCTAAGCCCCGGCTCTCGGCCCTGTCGCCCTACCTTCGACCCGGCCCTATCACCCTACCTTCGACCCGGCCCCGTCGCCCTACCCTAGACCCGGCCCCGTCGCCCTACTGCGGCCCCGCCGCCCTACCTGCGGCCTCACCGCCCTACATGCGGCCCCGCCGCCCTACCTGCGGCCCCGCCGCCCTACCAGTGGCCCTGCTGCCCTACCTGCGGCCTCGCCGCTCTACCAGCGGCCCCGCCGCCCTACTAGCGGCCCTACCGCCCTACGCAGCCGAGCCGCTCGCACCGCCCGAGCCGCCCAAGCCGCCCGAGCCGCCGAAGCCGCCTGAGCCGCCCGAGCCGCCCGAGCCGCCCGAGCCGCCTGAGCAACGGAGGAGCCGAGCCGCGGGTGCCGCCGAGCCATAGTTGCTGCCGCGCCGCCCGAGTCCTCCGAGCCGCCGTGTTGCTGAGCTGCTGTGCTGCTGAGCTGCCCGAACCGCCCTGTCTGGTGAGAGAAGCGCCCCTGTCACTGCACTGCCCCTGCTCTACAGCTAACGGTGCTAGTATACTGCTGTCATGACCACCCCCAGTGTTCTCGCTTTTGACGCTAAGGGCAGGGCCATCGACTTTGACGTCTAGGTCGATGACCTCCAGCTTTTCCTACAGTGCGATAGGGCAGACGGTCTCTCCTTCTTTGACCTCACCTCTGGTGCCTCCCCTGCCCCTGCTGCCGATGCCGACGCCACTGTTCACTCACAGTGGGCCACTCGCGATGCTGCTGCACGTCTTGCTGTACGTCACCACCTGCCTACCACTAAGCGCGCACACTTTAGTCAGTACAAGAGTGCTTAGACCTTGTACGACGCTGTAGTAGCGCGCTACTCTTCCCCTGCCACTGCTGCACTAAGCCGTCTCATGCTACCGTACCTCTTCCCTGACCTTGCTGCCTTTCCCACAGTCGCTGACCTCATTACGCACCTCCGCACTAGTAGCACTCCCTACCGCGCTGCGCTTCCGGCTGAGTTCCGCGCCACGAACCCCCCCCCCAATTACATCGCTCTCTATTACATAGTCACCCGCCTCCCTGACTCCCTTCGTGTAGTCAGAGAACACTTCCTCTCAGTCTATCCCACCACTCTCACTGTTGACCTCCTCGAGAAGGCCCTCTTAGCAGCGGAGAAGAGCATAGTCGCTGTAGGAGCCTCTCGTGGTGACCCTCGCACCCCCAACTTTGAGGGGTGTTCCCCTTCCCCCCTTTTGCCCTCTGTCGCCTCTGCTGCTGCGGCCGACCTTGTTGGTCTTGAGTCGGTCGGTACGGCGTCTGCCCCTAGTGGGAGACGCCGCTCTGGCAAGGGCAAGGAGGGCAGGGGCGCGGGCAGAGCTAGCGGGGGTGGTGGAGGTGGCGGTGGAGGCGGCGGAGGGAGTGGGGGTGGCGGTGGGAGTGGTGGCGGGGGTGGAGGTGTCGGTGGCGGCAGTGGAGGCGGAGGCGGCGGAGGCGGTGGCGGTGAGAGCGGAGGCGGCGGTGGTGGCCGAGGTGGAGGAGGTGGAGCTGGTCGTGGTGGTGCTACGCAGCGGAGCGGCTCCGGTGGTGGTCAGCGCCAGCAGCAGCAGCAGAGTTCTCGGGACATCCCCCCCCCTCAGCAGCTCCATGAGTGGTACGCTGCACATCAGAAGGGTGGGGGTACTGGTCCGTGCACCTACGTCCTACGCACCGGAGACCGCGCAGGTGAGCAGTGTGGGGGTCTACATCCCACCCAGCGCTGCTTCGGCTGCCTGACGGACGCTTGGCGTCACCAGTTCCTGGAGGCAACTGAGATCCCCCGTTGGGGTGAGCTGTATAGGGCGGGTGTAGCTATCTTTGATCTTGAATTTGATGCTATTCTTGCTGCCATGTATGCTGTGATTATTAGTGATGAGGGTGACTGTTACCGGTGTTTCCCGCCCGACCCGGGCATTGAGACTGCTGCTCTAGGTACTGGTGAGGCTGCTGCTCTAGGTGCCAGTGTGGTTGCTGCTCTAGGTGCCGGTGCGTCTGCATCCTTAGGTGCTGGTGAGTCTGCGCTTTCAGGTACCGCGTCGACTTTGGCCTCCCTCACCTTCACACTTGACTAAGGGGCTTCTCGCTCCTTCTTTCGAGACCGCACCACACTCGCGCCGCTTGGTCGGCCGGTTGCAGTCTTCGTGGCAGACTCCTCTGGGGGTCCTGTCCTTGCTCACTTCTCCACTGTCCTCCCGTGTCCGGCTGCCCCCTCTGGCACCTTGTGTGGTCTTTATTCCCCTCGTTCTTTACAAACTTGGAGAGTGGTGCTGACCTACAGGATGCGGGGTTTCACCAGTTTACTCCTGCGAGTCAGCGGGTGACCCACTGCTCGGACACTCGCACAGGCCGGCACCTGGCCACGTTTACGCATCGGCCGGGGTCGAGCCTCTACACCCTGACCACTAAGTCTCCTCCTGTCCCCGCGTCTGGTGAGGTACCTGCGTTGGGTCAGGTGTTTGCTGCAGCGTCTAGGTCTGGTCCTGAGTTTGCCCCCTGCTCGTGTCGCCTCCTGTCTCACGAGACTCTCCTGTGGCACCACCACCTTGGTCACCCCTCCCTGCCTTGTCTCCGAGGCATGGCCTCCCTTGTCCTTGTCTTTGGTCTTCCCCGGTCCCTCCCTCCCCTTCCTCCAAGGCCTGGCCCTACCTGCGTCCCCTGTGTCGAGGGGCGGCTGCTGGCTGCCCCTCACTCCTCTCAATTTCCCCCGACAGAGGCCCCGCTGCAGACGCTTCACATGGACGTGTGGGGCCCGGCCCGCGTCCGTGGGCAGGGTCACGAGTGCTACTTCCTACCGGTGGTTGACGAGTACTCGCGTTACACCACAGTCTCCCCCTTGCGCAGCAAGGGTGATGTAACTGAGGTGTTGATCGACTGGATCCACGCAGCCTGTCTCCAGCTCAGGAGGAGCTTTGGCTCAGACTTTCTTGTTCTACGTCTGCACTTTGACCGAGGCGGAGAGTTCTCCTCTGGCCTTCTGCGAGCCTACTGCCGTGCGCGAGGCATTCGCCAGACCTTTACGCTTCCGGACTCTCCACAGCAAAATGGGATCGCTGAGCGCCGCATTGGCATGGTCATGGACGTCGCCCGTACGTCGACGATGCATGCGGCTGCCCCCCATTTTCTGTGGCCGTTTACGGTTCGGTACGCGGCGCATCAGATCAACCTTCACCCCTGGGTCTCCATGCCGGAGACCTCCCCAGCTGTGAGAGGACGTCCTTGTTATAATATTTTTTCACTATTATATTTTTCCGTTATCCTATTCTCCCTTTTCTCCTCTTTATTTTGGTCTTTATCTCATCTCAATCGGCCTACTATTCTATTTTCTAGAGCCTTCTATTTATTTCTCATATTTCCTACTTTTCCCACCGACATAGCTTTTATACGGCAGCGACAGCGCCGACAGTAGTGTATATGGTGTAATCAGGGCGTAATCCCAAGTGCCAATAGCCTTGCGTGCTTATGCGCACTTGTGATTGTAGTATCGGGAAGGGCGTGTTCCCGAAGCTTCGTTTTATCTCGTTTATCCTTGTATTTTCCGAGTATAAAAATTGTTGGTGCAACCCTACGGTTTGCACTCGGCTTGTTGTCCGTGTGCGTGCATGTGTGTGTGTATGGAATGGTATGAGGGCATGGGATAATATTTATTTCATGCTTATAATTGTGTGTGAATGTTGAGTCATGATGTCGAGTGTGTGTGTCGAGTCAATAGCGAGATATCGCAAGATGCGTGTTACGCGGTCGTTTGTGTCTCGCGCGCGGTTTTTATTTTCTCCTGTGTCGAACGTTCGGCGTGTCGCAGGTGTGTGCTGAAGACCCATCAAGAACCCAAGGATGAGTTTGTGATGAAGAGCCCGAGCCTTTGTGTCAGGCCTCGAGTGATTTCGAAGCTCGCCAAAAGGGTGCACCTCAAGATATTGAAGATAGTTACATTACTTTGTGTAGTGTAACATTTCACTTGGTGTAGGCCCTAGTGAAGGGTAGTTTCGAGACCCTTCGTGGTTGGGGATAGTGTGGCACTGTTCCACATCACTGTACCTCGGCTCTTGGGGTTTGTAGGAGCTGGGAGTCATTCCCAACTCGTAACTCTTCCTAACTCTTCCTATCTTGTTTTCTAAGACTATAGTGGCTGCCATAGTGCCGTTCGTTCAAACCAGCGCTGTGTCGTCAATACTTGGTCAAATCGTGCGACCTAAATTGCCTCTTGTAGGCGACAATAAGACGCTCCAGATCCAAGTTGAATCAAGTCATTTAAAGCTGCGACCAGAACGATATGAACGTTTGAAGCCGCTGTGCAGAAATCCGACTATGCACTCTATCTTTCGTTTTA